AGCGAGAGTTTTTCTAGCCATGCACGAGAGTGGTGTTCTTCGGCTAATACCAATTATAACTGAAGATAAGTTCTAGTGCAGGGGTCACCAAACTACGTCCCGCGGGCCGGATCCGGCCCGCGACGTCATTTTATCCGGCCCGCGGCGTCATTTTATCCAGTCCGCAATAACACACAAAAATGGCTAAATTTTTTTCCAAGGAAGATTTTCACGAGCATCGTCGTCTTTGTTTATATCGTAACATTGCCCAATCGCAAGATGCAAAAAAGTGACGTAATAATAGGCCTTTCCGCATCCGCTCAGACACTTTTGTCACCCTGACAGATTTTCAGTCATGGTTGTAAACAAAACTTCGTTTTTGCGACTTTGAATGCTACCAGTACGTAACGTTTTCTGCGATACACTTGTACACTCGTGGCGCGTGCTTTCGACGAAACTGTATGTCTTTTTTGTGCTAAAATAAACGTCGAATGTGCATTTTGTGCTAACAGTACTGTAATCCCTCGCGTACTGCTCCCAATTTCAAAAGCCACACTAACTTTTGTACTGCTTTAATGCGGATATTCATGTAGGTATATGTTACAAAAAATTGAAGTTTATCCGATTTAAATAAAAACTATTCCAGTGGAAAGATCTGAGTAAAAATAGAAAACAATACCAAGTTTATAACGGTCAAGAAATAACGAAGATATCGGAATTTTAGTACCGCCCGACAGGCCAATTTTTTCCATAATGATTGTATTACTTTTTTGATAAGAACTGAACTAAATATGGAAAAATAACACATATCAATCACTAGTCTTTCGATGTGCGTCACATCTATGGTAAATTGAGACTATTTCAGGATTTTATTCTGACAACGGTCATTGACACCGCCGAAAGATCGTCGCAAATAAACGCTGCAGTTGTGCATGATAGTTTGACAGTGGTTCATTGTGGGTAATAATTAACGGTGTTCTGATTGTACGAACTTCATAAAAATTGTATTAAGTTAGGAAAGAAATACACACGTCCACATAAATTTTATTGGTGTCCATAGACAATATCATTAATTTGAACTACGTATAACTGGAGCGTAATTTTTAAAAGCGTCGAATGTTGGCAAATTTATGCGCAAATGAAAAAAATCAAATACCAGATAATAGTTGTTTATTTTATCTAAATTATGTCAAGATTTCATAGAATTCCAAGCTACAGCAGTTAGTCGTTTTTATGAGCGGTATTTAAACACGGCGTAACGGTACCCAGCAGACGCGATGCCCACATTTTTGGCCGCGGATTTTGTAACATTTCTAATTCATGACAGCAACGTTTTGATAACAGCTAAACTCAGGATAGTTGTCTAGATATAGGAATCTTGTTAATTTTTTTCATAGGATGTTCTCGATCTATATTCTGCGATATTCCCAACATTTGTGAATTTATTGTATTGCATTGACAAAAATATTCATCCGGCCCGTTTCAACACAATTTGAGTCATACCCGGCCCGAGTTCAAAAAAGTTTGGTGACCCCTGTTCTAGTGGACCAAAATGCAATTTCCACATTTTAACCGTACGTCAATAAAAATTTGACCTACCAACATTTTATATTATTTAGCGATTTTTGTATGCATGGTATTCATCTATGAACAAGTAAAATGTAAATAATATGCAAAAAATCGTGACAAAAATATTTGCTTCTTCCAATCTAATTTTCCTTTGATATTTAAGCCCTCCTGACATACGAACGAACGTCTTTTAGTTCATATTCCGTTTTCCAAAAGGGTTCGAACAGAACACCAACAGTCTTTGATCTTCTGTCAGATTTTTATATCGCCGTAATCTGGACTTCTGGCAAATCGTGGATGTACGCCGAGATCCCATTTTTCCTCAGAATAGTTTTTCGATATCATTCAAGCATCTGTTAATTCTGAAAGCTATTTTATTATGACTTAATCCAGCAAAACGACATATTTTGCATGTATCAATTTTCCACATTTTGGGGCGCGCCTTTCACGCGTTTTCATTCAGGCAAAATATGAGAATCTAAAATTTATTAGAATTATATATAAACATTTTGTCGAAACAAGGCGTAGAGATTGAATGGTCAATTCATTTTCCAAATTGAACAATTAATTTTGATCATAATCTGCTTGCAATGATGCAAACGTCTTTGACAGAATCTTCAATATTTCATCAAAATTGTAGTATAGGTACTCTTCATTAGGTCAAAAGTTTGTGATTTGTCACGATCAGCAAGAATTCTAAAGCAGTGGTTCCAGTACAATCAAAAACCGACAGCAAAATAAACAGAAATATATTGTTGTTTTGATAAAAATATTTTTTTATCGAAGGTTCAAGAAACCTCAACGTATGCGGTTATTCGCAATTGCATAAAATCCAATCAGTAATATATAAACTCACATCATGCTTGACCCAGGATTCGAACACTATGACATTTTGTATCAGACTGCGAAGTAGATCAGGCTGCATTGGCGCACTGCGTGGGCTAGCCTAACCTATACAGCTTTCTTTTTTGTTGGTATATATTAGGTTAGTTGCACTACCTTTACCGGTACTTTATTGTTTATTCCGTGCTTGGGTTTAGTCACTTGTGCTTAAGATTAAGCAATAATTTTGCTCCTTCCGTTTTGTTCTGTATTTATCCTATTCTCACGAAAAAGCGAAAACAACTTGTGCCTTTGGATGCATCGTGAATTTATACCATAATACTGTACAGCAGGGGTCGGCAACCTTTTGTCGCTCGCGGGCCAAAATTAAGGTCTTTGGCGGGCCGCACAAATTTTTAGAAAGTTGAAATCCGAACGGATGATACTTGTTATAATAAAAATCAAGCAGTGATACATCTCTCGAATACAATATAGATTTATTTCCCTATTGCCTTGCATCTCAAAAAATGCAATTTGAATATTTTCGGCGTCATTGAACCCTTTGCACTTATCTTCTTTAAGTAGCATTACCTTTTCTGCGTTTTGTTGCCATTTGTCTAATTATAATTAAATTATAGGCTCATTAAACAAGTAATTGTAAGTTATATACTTGTTAGATTATAATATAATTTAGACTACACGTTCCTCACAATAAATTCTGTTAAGTAAAGAATATAATCGTCAAAACAGCTGTTTTGTGACTATAATTCAGTGAAGCGTCGGGGGCCGTAGGTTGCCGACCCCTGCTGTACAGTATAGGTATTTTGGTTGCAAAATTGGTCAATGCGACTCATTAACATTTTGTCAGGGATTTTGTCTTTCCAGATATGGTAACCATAGTATATATACGATTCAAGACTGCAAGGCAATTGGTTCATTTAATTGAATGTAAATGACTTTAACAGAAGGTTGTTCGGAATGAACATCATTATTAGCTATATCATGAAGACAAGGACTAAGATTGTACTTTAATTTGTAACCAATCTATTCATATGTCAGTACATTCAATATGTGCTAATGTACTATAGGTGGAATAAACGTATGTATGTGCGAATGTCTGTAGGTGCTGAACGCTGTGTTGTGTTGAGTGTACATTGGATGGAATTCGACTCGTAATAATGTTACAATTTGTTACCGAACTTGGCTGTAAATTTCGGATAATACGGACCCTTCCTACAGTATGGCTGACGAATCAAATATTGAGTAATGATCAAACATTGAAAGAATAATGAATAATATCGGAATATTCCACAAAGAATGCATGGCTATTGCATTGCATTGACGTATTATATCTCGATACTCGATATATGCTCGCCGTCCATTCTGTTAATCTACTTACAATCAACATTTTACATGATAATATGTATGGCTGGGAATTTTTGAATATCTGATGATTCCGGTATCGAATTGAACACTTACTTATATATATATAAGTGATATATAATCGTATACGATTTTTTACAGTAATGGGTCCTCCAGACAGTCAAATTACTGAAACACGTGATCCATCACTCAGACAGTTTTGCATTGAATTTATTGTGCTCACACACAATAAAAAATTCTACTATTCGATTCGAAATGTCCAACCCTATAATATGTCGATTTCTCACATTAACCCAAATAAAATTGGAGCGTTAAGCGGACACAAAAATTACAAAATATTTCACTGGCTGGCACAGCGATCGGAAACGACTGCTCTAAAAAAATTACGTATACCTGGTATATTACCGGCTCTTGTTAGCGAGCAACTTATAAACAGCGTTTCAGATAAGACTGTTAAGAGCTCAAAATGGAATCGGGCTTGACCAAATGGCATATCTTCTTAATACCCCATTCAAATCCGAGTCAATAGATCCAACCTTTTTCTATGAAAATGCAACCAAAATTTGAAAAAAAATGGAGAAATGCCTGAACGACAGCAACTGCGCATAAAAAGATGAAGAAACATTCTTTTGTTAGAGGCATCGTTACGTTTTAAACCTATTTCGTTTGTTGCAAGTATTTAATCAATATTTCTGCCAGCATTTTTAGCATTACTTGTTCCTTTGTCGTCAATGTCGATTCGACAAAAACTTGTTCCACAGTACAAGCAAAATTATAATGATGGACACTTTCTAGAATCTAGACCAGACATGGGCAAAGCACGGCCCGCAGGCCAAATCCTGCCTGTTGGGTAATTCAATATGGCCCGCCTGATGCTGCCACAACCAAACTAAAATCAAATTTTGATGTTTGAAACAAGACTCCTTGTTTTCCACTTTTGCTTTTGTAGCACTGTAAATATTGTTAATAAAATGTAATTTTTTACGTCACACTTGGCCCGCCAGTATGGGGGGGCAACATTTTTGTCCCCAGGTTTATAAACCTCGCCCACCCCTAATCTAGACCATTGATCGTTTTGCAATTTGAATTATATTTTCGTTTGGTATGAGTGGGATTCTCCGCCCATCATTAGGCGTGTTCTGAACCTATAAACCATTTTCAAACTTTCCAGTGCCATGGGTTTGCCTCCTCTTTAACTGTTTGGATTCTATGAGCTGACATTTAGATTGAAATCATTGCATTCGATATAAGCAAAACTAAAAAAGGTTGATTTGTATTTGCACAATTATTTGCAAACTACAGAATATGGTAAACTATAAAACTAAGACATTACAAAAACTTTTCTTCAATTGCATCAATGAAATTCTGTTTTTTCCCTGTTACATTAATGCCATTGTTTTTACAAAATTCTTTAAGGACCGATACAGTAAGTTTCGCAAGTTTACCTGTTGATGCAAGTTCTTTTATGTCAGCTATGTTCATCTGCTTGGCATTGGTACCGCCATTTGCTGCTTCCGTCTTTCGTTTTGTAGCAGTTGGCCTTGGTTTACTGACTTTTGCAGTTGGATCATAACCAGAAGGATAAACCTGTTCCTTAAATTGTGCAATCAAGTCTCCTGCTTTTTTGGTTATCCTATCAAAGTTTGGTTGTGTCAGATCATCTATTTCATCTGGTGCATCTTTTTCTAATGCCATTGCTTCAAGATTACGATAATGTGTTTGTAAAGCTGGATTGTCAAAATTCATAGGATGGTATGTGAACTTTAGTTTCCTGATAAAAGTTCCAGCAGTTTTCACTGCCTCCTCATCTGGTTCTTTAGTCTCTTTCAATTCAATATTTCTCATGTCTTCTGAAAAAGGCAAGAAGATAACATAAAACCCTGGAGATTGTTTTTGCTCTCCCGTAGTTTCATCAATAACTTCTTGTTGTGGAAGTAAAGCAACACATCTAGGTGCGGTGTTGGAACGTGCTGATAAACTGCATATGGGAACAACATCTCTTTCAATACATTTTATTAAAAGAGCAGAAAACAGTGTTGTACTGCCTTTAACAGCTTTTTCATTAGGATATATAAATTGAGCTGCTTTTACATGTAACCATGGCTTCACTGCTTTGGCTGTTGGCTTGAATCCTAGAAGTTTCATCCCTGTACCAAAGAATTTTCTCATATCTGCTACTTCGTCATTTTCAAACATAATGTCCCGATTCCCCCACTTTTGTGATAATTTGATATCACCAGGCAGCAGAATATCCCCTGTGTCTTTCTCAACAAAGTTAGTTTTTGCAAATGCTTCTTCATTTGACGTGGAATCTATATTGACATTACTACTCTTTGTTGCCCGCCTTGCTGCAGTATAAACACCAACATACATTTCCATCCCATCAAACAATTGAAATGAAATAGTACCCATCGCTCTTTGCTTGGAGCATTTTCTGAGCAGAAAATCATATAAATTTGTGATACCATCAACTGGATTTTGTATAATAGAAACATCCGCATCAACATCAGATATAATATCTTTGTAAAATTTCTCATAGTCGAAACTCCTGTTAAATGAAAGGACTTGGATTGTTATATCTTGTTCCATGAGGTCCTTGGCCTTCGTTCTAGCTCGCAAATGTGCATTTCTATCACCATGATGTGGATCATCTTCCCATGTGAACAAAATCAATGTCTTCGAAGACAGACTGACTGTTGTTCGACTAAATATTGATGAACAACACCAAAGTAGATCACTGATTTGATGATCATTGCATTGTCCATATTTCAATTTGATATCAGCTTCTGTTGAATCTTGTAATGTTTGAAGCTCTTCAATCCTAGCAGCAGATGATGAATCCAAATCTTGTACAACATAAATATTCTTGAAATCGGACGGATTTTTAGTCTCTTCTGTACCAAAGAAAACAAGAGCTTGTAGGTCACGTTCACTGCAAATAATCTTGTTTCTCAGCATATCTTTCGCTGCCTCACATATTTTATTAAATGGGCAACTTTCATCATCATCATTTGTGAGTTGGAACATTTGCTCACAACAATCGACTGCAATCATGACGCTATCCCGACCGGAAAATGAGGCCCAAGTTCCTTGATCATCTTGGCCTTCCTCCGTCACACCCAAATCATCATAAAAATTAAAGTCAGCCATATGCAAAAGATCTGGCTTGTGCTTAGCTATTTATCTTTTTCAGAAAGAGAGAGAAGGAAGCATTAGAACATGCAATGGCATAAGTACACATAGAAAGGAACAATTACAATTCCTAATCAATCATAGGTCACAACAGAACACCAAAATAATATGCTCTGCTCTATTCCTAGTTTACCAGAAATAAATCTCATGGGAATAAAATGAAAACCAAGGTTTTAACAGATACATGCAAATTGAAATGAATTATATTGCCAAATGTAAAAAGTATATTATTCGTGCTTTTTCAGTTAAAATTTTTTAAATTAGTTGCTAAAACAAATTCTTGCAAGGTTTACACAACACAGTAAATTGAGGCCCTAGAAAAAAATTTAGAAAGCAACCAGACCACCCATCAAAAAACCAAAATACATTTTGTTATTAACACCATCAAAACATACGTTTACATACAATAAAATTTAAATAGGAGCAGTAGATGTCTGAAAGATAGGAAATAGTGGTTAAGAGGTGAAAATTTATCACCGAAATCACATTATTGAAAACTAAAATATCGAGCCGAAGAGAGTCAGTTTGTGTTTTCTGATGCCAAAGCAAGTATAAAATAACCAATACCAGATATTATTATTCAATAGCTTACATTGGTGGTATTGCTAGCTAACTGTCGATACTCCTGAAGTATGCGTACCAAGATGGCAGACACCGGAACGTAGTATGTGTAACAGGTTAGGGTTAGGCCATAATTTCATTCCAATTTTTCTTATTTTAGTTCTCTTAAGAGTTCAGAGACTAGTCAAGTGACTCCCGTAGTATTTGTACCTAAAATTATAGCCTAACCGTAACCGGGTACACATACTACGTTCAGGTGTCTGCCTTCTTGGTACGCATACTTCAGGAGCGCCGCCATCTTGGTTCGCATACTTCAGGAGCCCAACTGTTATAATGAGTTTGTGATATAACAGACCAATTTAAAGCAATAAACAAGAATTTTTAATAATCTAACAATGTTTATAATGGTGATAAATTTTCACCTGGAATTCAGTTATTTTTTAAATAAAATGAGCAGTATGTATTATTCCATATCATCAATGTCATCTAAATCATCTAGATCTTCTGTAAATAAGTCTTCATCAACAGGAACATTTTCTGCAGAGTTATTCGTATCTTCAGCATTTGTTGGCCCGGCAGCTCCAGAATTCTCAATGCCGTTTGTTAAAGGATCTGTTTTTGTTGTATTCGATACATCTTCCTCACCTCCAGTGTCTGCTACATTATCCGTAAGTGTAAATGTATTCAGCGATAATTCTTTGACGGTTTCCGATACATCGTCAATTTCTCGTTCCGATGATGCCAAAGTTGCACCCTCATCATTTTCATCATCTTCATCAATCATGTCCGGACGGAATTCAAACATTTCTCTTCCACTTATTGAAGCTTGTGCCCCAGATTTAAACTCATTTTTCCTCTTCTCTTTGCTAGCTTCTAATTCTTTTATTTTTTCTTCTCGTTTCTTTTTTTTCCAAACCAAAAATGTTGCTAACGTAATTTTTGTTACATTAGCACCAAGCGCAGCTCTTTCTTTTTCGATTAGATCTTCTATTGATATTTTTTCTTTCTGATCCTCCATTTTTTTCTGGTCAGATTTCAGTATAAAACCTGGTGGCAAAGCATGCCTGTACATGCAAGTATCTGCACCATTCGGGCATATCCAAAACCAACCATACTTTTTCTCTTCAATTGCTTGTAAGAAAAATTTACAGACTTTATCGGTTTTAGTTTGATTATTTGCGCCATGTTTTTTTTCAACAACTTCTTTGAGCTTGTCTTCATCCCACGAATCCATATTGTCTCCTTCACGTTCATCATCTCTCGCGTCAAAATATAAACTTCTTTTTTCACTCTTTCGTTCGATAGTAAGATCATGAGAGAATTTACATTTCGCTCCCTTTTGACACATGCCCTGTTTAAAAAAAGCACACAAAACTGATTTCGGGTCCACGCCCTTTCCAACTTTATTCTGGGCCATAACAGGACGAAACAAGTTATCCAATTCATCTTCCGTCTTTTTATCTTTCTTTTTTCTTTCTTCCTCCTTGAGTAGTTCCTGCTTTCTTGTGCTCGGTGATCCTCCATATTTCACCTGCTGAGTGACATTTTTAATAAACTTTTGTTGTTTGTTTCCTTTTTTATTTTTCAATCCAAAAGTTTTGTCCTCGATAACCTTATCCTTCTTCTTTTGCTCTGTTTTCACATTAGCCTTTTGCTGCTTCTTGGGAGGCATTTTTAAATTTTCAACAACTACTAACGGAAAACTGTTTAGAGAAGAACAGAGATAATCAAAGGCTTCTTGTTCAAATTGTCATTCAAATTTGATCAGAAGTTGTTGTCAAATAAATTTGAACAATAGAACCTTTATAATAGTACAATATGTAAAATTCTTAATCATATTTTAGTTATGTATAATAATACAGTTTTGTTAATTTTCACGGCGACTTGGCAACTCCCTTTGGGAACCGTTGGCATAACATGTTTATGGGCCATGAAGTATACTGGTATACATACAAGATACAACATATCAACAGATAGGACTCGTATAAATATTCCATGTTTTTATCAACCATTCCGATTATCTTTCTATATCATAATTTGTAAAGTTTCATTATTTTTAAAGTTGATAGATCAGATATGAATACAAAGTTAATTAAAGCTACAAAAGCCTACTGTGTCCCTATCATCTGGTAACTGGACGAGAGCTGATGAGACTGTGGTTCGTCCTAGGATTAAGCCGTCTTATTGCCTTTCCTCTCCCTGAGATAAATTCGTAAATCCTATCGTAATAACTTCAGAACTTGTTTCTTTGATACCATTATTACATGAAGTTCAACTCTATTATTCATCATCGAATCTTTATTTCAATTTATGTGTAGCGTGCGTTCAATATTTTACTTTTTCAATTAACTTCAGTAAAGAACTTGCATGTCAAAAAAAAAGTTTGGGCCTGACAATACTCCAATATTCATTATAAGTATCCCCTAATGTTTGTCTCTGAGATTTTATTATTAAGCTATATTTCCGTATTTTTTATTTTTTTAGTAACTAACCCTTTCTATTTCAAAAGCAATGAGTTCTAAAAGACTGAAGGTAGTAATCTATACATAATCCTGCATTCTAACAGTTCTAATGAACTTAATATTATGGTCTAGTCCGCAACAACATTAAACTGATTATTTATGCCTAACCTGGATATTAGTTAAGATTTTGTGAATATAATTTTTCAAATGATCGACCACCTTCGCCACTTTCTCCTATATGGCCTAACGAGCTAAGCGTTAGGAATACGCTCGCCACCGCACCTCTAATTACTCTGCGTGGGTTCGAAGGTTTCGAATCCCATGCAGGGATGGTTATGTGCGAGAGGATTGCTGGACTCCTCGCCGTCATTGGGTGGTTCACGTAACCGCTGGTCGGTTACGGCTTCCTCCACCACCAAGTCCATGCTTCCGAAAACAAACAATATATCTAATCCCATACCCGACTTGGAATGGTAACCGGACGAGAGGTCGTGGTTCCCCATATGGATAAGCCGTCTTATCGGCTTTCCTCTCCCCCCGGATAAATATGTAAATCCTATCCTATAAAGTTCTCAAATTAAGAACCTCAATCTCGGGACCCTACTAAAAAGGTAGGTATCATAGGTATCACAGGTATCATAGGTATCACTCCATAAAAAGATAGGTATATAGGTATCACTCCATAAAAAGATAGGTATCAGTAGTAAATGACTAAAAAGGTAGGTATCAGTAGTAGATGACTAAAAAGGTAGGTATCAGTAGTAAATGACTAAAAGGTAGGTATCAGTAGTAAATGACTAAAAAGGTAGGTATCAGTAGTAAATAACTAAAAAGGTAGGTATCAGTAGTAAATGACTAAAAAGGTAGGTATCAGTAGTAGATGACTAAAAAGGTAGGTATCAGTAGTAAATAACTAAAAAGGTAGGTATCAGTAGTAAATGACTAAAAAGGTAGGTATCAGTAGTAGATGACTAAAAAGGTAGGTATCAGTAGTAAATGACTAAAAAGGTACCGGTAGGTATCAGTAGTAAATAACTAAAAAGGTAGGTATCACAGTAGTAGATGACTAAAAAGGGGGCTCCCGAAGTATGCAAACCAAGATGGCGGACATCGGAATGTAATAATATGTGTACTAGGTTAGGGTTAGGCCAAATTTAGGATAAATACTAGGGGCCCTTGGCTAGTCTTAGAACTGATAATAGGACTAAAATAAGGAAAATTGGAAAAAAATTATCGCCTAACCCTAACCTGTTACCCATGTTACGTTCCGATGTCCGCTTAGTCATTTACCACTGATACCTACCTTTTTAGTCATTTACTACTGATACCTACCTTTTTAGTCATTTACTACTGATACCTACCTTTTTAGACACTGATACCTACCTTTTTAGACACTGATACCTACCTTTTTAGTCATCTACTACTGATACCTACCTTTTTAGTGAGTGATACCTATGATACCTGTGATACCTACCTTTTTAGTAGGGCCCCAATCTCGCACCTATCGCCAATTGACCGCGAAACTAGATCTGTAGATCGAGAAATGTGGTTATGATCAGTAGCGCCATCCCCTGGTAAAATGAACCATCGAGCCTACCCGGTTTGGGAATATTTTTGCGGTTCACGGTCCGGGATCGACACCCCATTGCTGTCTGACTCGCTTTTTTATGATATGATAGGGAACAATTGTGACAACAAATTGTCACGCATGTAGAGTTCTGTACTTTTACAATATGGTGTAAGTCCTGTGAACAAATGAGAGCTCACAACTATGGACCTTTCCCTGAGCATCGACTTCCTTGTTTACTCCGTGACATTGACCAATCAGCAAGATGCAAAAAGTGACGTAACAATGCTCCCTTTTCGCATCCGCTCAGACACTTTTCTCACTCAGACAGATTTTTTAGTCTAGTCTATCACAGCTATTTCTACACTAATTTTTTAGTACTGCAATGAAATTAAAACTCCCAGGAAGACATAGTGATCATTGAATTATATGATTTAAATTTCCGAAACACAACTGAAAAGTAACGAATAGAGTTCAAAAACGCGAAAACGAGGTAATGTTTACGACCACGCCTGAAAATCTGTCTGAGTTTGAAAAGTGTCTGAGCGGATGCGAAAAGGTAGCATTGTTACGTTACTTTTTGCATCTTGCTGATTGGCCAATGTCACGAAGTAAACAAGGAAGTCGATTCTCGGGGAAAGGTCCATTGATTTTGGATGAATTATGCCGTATAATTAGCGAGTTATTAATTAATTAGTGGTGGGACACACGGTGTCACTATGGAGTAAGAGCGCTGTTTCGGGGTATCCCCTAACTTTCGATCGATAAGTCTTCGGTCTCCGACCGATATTCTCGCTTACTTTTTGATGTCCAATTCGATCGAAACTTTTACGAATAGATGCACTGCCCTTCCCCCACTTAAAATTTATCGTTTTAAAAGTTTAATGCTTGTTATAATATGTACATATCTTCAAATTTTGTATTCAAACCGTTGTCTCGAAAAGGTAGGCTACTGACAGCTAAGATTAACCAGCACAGCCCACTCTATTACAGCTCAAGCGGCCTCGTCGATTTTTCTCTCACCCGATATAAATAGGAAAAACCATCTCTATTCTGAGACTTTGCCAATTTTCGTTTGAAAGGTGTAGCTGATGACAACGAAGAAAAAGTTGGTGGCTATTGGCCTCCTTGTTTTTCAGATGTGTGTCCTCATCAATCAATTAATTAATACAACGATCAATTATTCCCTCATTAATCTCCCCTTATTATTATTACTTCGATCGTTCCATTATCCTCACTGGACTTACATTCATTTTATCGGCGTATATGAGTAGGCCTACATTGAAATCTCTTGCACATGTTTTGTTCGTGCCCATTACACAAGGCTGCTGACACTCATATTTTTCCTTGTGTAGTGCCGCTGTACAGACAGACATACCTTGATTGCAATGACGTTTGTAATAACTTATTGTATTTTATTGATAATACTGTCTCGATATTGCTTGAAAAACCAAAGAATATACGATGACAGTGGCTTTTGAAATGCGGGAAACAAGTGAGCTCATGCAGTTGCGTGATACGCTAATCTTGAGCGTTGTCCTTTAATATTCTTTCGTAACTTCAACACCACATACTCTGGATTGTTATTCGTGACTATATTTTACGTGGCGTGACAAATAAAAGGATTAAGTGTAAACATACTCCCATGAATTTTCTTCAAAAGTCTGAAATTTTAGTGCAGTGATTCCAAAGTGGGCGATATCGCCCCCAGTGGGCGATATCGCCCCCAGTGGGCGAAAACGATACAGAGGGTGGCGAAAAAGTCGAAGGGGGCGATTTCACGAAATCTGTTTCATGTTCGGCGCATCGTGCAATTAATTCTGTACTCTGTGTGCATTCGCAGGCTTGAATCACGTGGGCGATTATCACACGCGAAAGGATTTCTGGACTCGTCTTCGCAGTAATGTACGGTAGTTTGCGTCTCCCATATGCAGTGGTCGGCAAAATACGACCGGAGTAAAATAATCTGGCCCGGGACGATTCACTGAATGAACCTTTCCCCGACCTTTGACCGCGGAAAATTCTTCTCATACTTTACCATTTTAAAATTTTCGGTGCTTATTTTAGGAGTGGTTTCACGAGTTGTTGCCTGTAAAATGGGGTATTTGTTTCAAACTATCATTCCAATACACACCATTCAACAATCTGTTTTTTAAAAGTACCGATAAACAATTTGAGCCTAGTCTATCACAGCTATTTCTACACTAATTTTTGATTACTGTATTTAAACTGAAACTCATAGGAAGACAAAGTAATCATTGACTTATTTGATTTTCATTTAAATTTCCGAAAAACAACTAAAAACTAACGAAAATAATAAAAAAAAAACGCGAAAATGTGGTAATGTTCACGACCACGACTGAAAATCTGTCTGAGTGAGTGTGTCTGAGCGGATGCGAAAGGGGGCATTTTTACGTTTTTTTGCATCTTGCTGATTGGCCAATGTCACGAAGTAAACAAGGAAGTCTATGCCGGGGGAAACATCCAAACGGCGGTTTTGACGATGAAATTTTTTTATTTATAATCTACGCTCGAGGAATAAACTACATTTTTTACGTGACAGAATTTATCGTGAGACACGTTTGGACTAAATTTTTTTATATCCTAAAAATTCTATTGGACAGCCACTCGTTTAACGAGCCTACAATTTAATTATATTTAAACAAATGGGAACACGAAGAAAAGTTGATGCTGAGGGCAAGGGTTCA